ACTACAAATGTCCTCATTGGCCTTTTCCCTACGCCCCTATTCAGCAAAACCAGCAACCTTATCCAAGGGTCCATGCTGACAGTAATCAGAACTTGAAGTCAGAACGATGATGCAAACAGTAACAACAGTTCCGATGGAAAGCCAAGGCGATACTGATAACACCCATCTCAGCTGAAGCCCAGGAGCGTAGTGCTTCCACAAGTCAAGGTTCTGATTTCGGAAAACCTGGAACGGGAAGGACCCTCTATGACACATCATCGACAGCTACAAAGTTACGATTTGTCAGTCTACAGGCACTGACGCGTTGCAGTTGACGTTATAATTTTTTAGGCTTCCGGATTTAGGACTCGAGGCCTCTTGGGGGTTTCGGGCGTCTTGAAAAGCAGGTACTGCTGTACTGTGGGGCGGTGTTAACTCATATTTAGAATAGTGTGCCTTAGGCCTCCTTTATGTATTCATAGCAACAAGGTGCGTGTGTGTGTATATATACATATATGCACACAGTTTATGTATATGTATGTGTATATATATATATATATGTACATACATATATACATATATATATATATATATGTCTATGATTAATTATATGGTCGACCCACCCAAGATCCGTACTCGCCTGTTCTGTGCTTTCAAATAACACACTAAAAACTCTTGATCGTTCAGAGTACAGAAAACACTGTAAATACCGATACTTTTCTGATGTTCGTACTCGTTCATCTTGCTTGTCTGTGTTGAATGTAGCTTTGTGGGCCCCCAAAATTCACTACCAGAATCTGGTAGTTAAATTGTGGGCTAACGGATGAATCGTCTAAATCATAAGAACAACGCTGCAAACCCGCCTGAATCTGACTCAGAAACCCTCGGCCTAGCCCGGCACCCTCACGCCCCATTTAACCCTAAACCCTAAACCCTAAACCCTAAACCCATGCCTTTTTGACGACGAAGCCCTTCGGCACTCGGTGGCCATTCTTCCGCAAGCAGCCGGAGTCGCACCTACAGCTAGGGTTTAGGGTTTAGGGTTTAGGGTTTAGGTGCTTGGGCTGTACATAAGGTGTTCTAAAGATTTAGTAACGGTTTAGGCCTGGAGGTAAGGGCCTCAGCAAAAAGATCCAGGTTTGGGTTCTGGTGCAGTAGAAGTAAAAAAGTTCAGATCTCCAATGTGCCATACTTCAGGAAAACTTTAGGATTTGAGACGCAGGGTTTTAGGATTGCTTGGCTTGGGCTGCAAGCTTCGAGCGTAGTAGCACGGTTCCTTAACTGAGAGGACCCTGGTTCAAGATCTTGGGTTCTTATGGAAGCTGTTAGTTCTAAAGTTCTAAATGGAGCATCAACATCATGCTGCATAATGCTTCAGTCAGGGTTTACATGTCAGTCTCCCAAGCAGTGTATAGTCAACAGGTCTAGAACATGATGTGCCAAAAGGGGTTATAATTACCGGCTAGCACATGGAATTTCTTGTAAAACATATATGATATGGAATATGTGTCTTGGACATGTCCAAGACCTTTCCGGAAGCCCCTGTTATTCAAAGTGATCTGGCTTGGAATATCAACCACTTGGCATATATATATATATATAGATATAGATATAGATATAGATATAGATATAGATATGTGGGTATATACCCATACATCACACGTCGTGGTGCTTCCTTGAGGAGCAAGTGCCACGAGTACTGCAACGACTCCCTCTCCGCACAGAGCAGACACTTGGAAGATGTGTATAGGTACAGACATGAATAGATTAGATGAAGACATGCATGAATACATGCATGACTGAGTGCAGGAGTGAATGAATGGATGAATGAAACAAAGAATGAACTAATGCATCCATGGATGGATGGATGGATGGATGGATGGATGGATGGATGGATGGATGGATGGATGGATGGATGGATGGATGAATGGATGCATGGATGCAATGGATGAAAGAATGATATTTCTAAACGTGGTTTAAGGCAGGGATACCTCGACCCCTACAGCGCCCAGCATCCACTAAAAATATGTGGCATGGTAAAGACACGAATAAACGAATACATGAGGGTAGTTGTCAAAATGATGGTCCCTTTTGGGGTACCCTAAATAATAGGTGCCGTATTATACCCTAAATAATAGGTGCCGTATTATAATAAGGACCCAAAAAGGGACCATAATTTTGACAACCACCTACATGAATTAATGAATATGCATGGCAGCGCAGGGCAGGGAAGGCAGCAGGGAGCCAGGGAGCAGGAAGCAGGTCGATGCAGGGATGCATGGAAGAAAGACTGATACATTTACGGTTTAGGGTTTAGGGTTTAGGGTGGATACTTCGACCCCTACAGCGCGCAGCATCCACTTGGAATATGGGCTCAAGACAAAACCTGATCAGACAAACGACTGAATACATGAATACCTGAACACATGTGCACGGGGCAAGGGTACCTTAACCCTTTCATCGAAATGCTTTTGTTTTATTCAGGAAGTATAGAAACAAACAACGTCGTGGTGCTTCCTTGAGGAGCAAGTGCCATGAGTACTGCAACGACTCCCTTTCCGCACAGAGCAGACACTTGGAAGATGTGTATAGGTACAGACATGAATAGATGAATACATACATGAATGAGTGAATGAGTGAATGAATGGATGAATGAAAGAAAGAATGAATGAATGAATGCATCCATGGATGGATAGGTGGATGGATGGATGAATGGATGAATGAATGATGTTTCTAAATGTGGTTTAAAGCAAGGATACCTCGACCCCGACAGCGCCCAGCATCCACTAGGAATATGTGACATGGTAAAAAGACATGAATAAACGAATACATGAATGAAGGCAGGGCAGCAGGGCAGCAGAGAGGGAGTCGTTGCAGTGCTCTTGGCACCAGCTCCTCAGGGAAGCGCCACGACTTTGTTTGTTTCTGTACTTCTTGCATACAACAAATACCCTTCATCCCTGCACAAACGTGTGCATGTATTCATGTCTTTGGTTATTTGTCTGTTCAGGTTTTTACTGGAGGCCATATTCCAAGTGGATGCTGCGCGCTGTAAGTGTCGCAGTAAGCCTGATTCAAAAACGTTTCGACTTATCCCTGGCTCCCTGCTCATGCGTGCATGCATGCATGCATGGACGGATGGACGGACGGACGGATGGATGCATGGATGCAATGGATGACGGAATGATACATCGAAACGAGGTGAAGGCAGGATACGTCGACCCCTACAGCGTCCAGCATCCACTTGGAATATGGGGAGCAAACTGTGTTCCTGCCGATTTATCGCTGGATATATTCCAAGTGAGGTTCATTCTCTAAGTGAAAAAAGACGGGTCACTTGGAATATACTTTACGCCTTGCGACCCCAACAACACGCATGGAACAAGTCAAATTTCAATAATAAAAAAGATAATCGTTCATGTGCTAGCCGGTAAGTACAAGCATAGTCTGTATAATACCAGTTTAGGGGTCGGGGTTGAGGGCTGGAGCAATTGGGGTTTTTGGACTTAAGGGCATTAGAGTTAAATGCCTTCGGCGTTGCGGTTTCGGGCATCAGCCTGCCTCTGCAACTTGCCTGGCTTCGAGTTTGTTGAGCTGCACGGCAATGCAGAAGGATTAAACAAAAACCGTCTAAGACTCAAACGTACAATGCAGAGGCCCAAGTAGACATGGTGTGTTTGATATTCTAAACTATACCAGGAAAGCCCTGGGACAGTATGAACTTCTTAGGACTCTCTATTTTTAAGCTCGAACCTCAGTATGAAACCTTCACCCTTGCTGCATAAACAGTTCAGCACCCCTGTGACACGCCCATAAAGTCTTAACCGTCCCTAAAGCATGAACCCTGAACCCTACACCCCAACACAAATGACCCGAAATCCCAAAACCCAAACCATGAACCCTAGGCCCTAAACCGTAAACCCTAAACCCTAAACCCCAAACTCTACACCCTCAACCCTAAAATCCCCAACCCCAGTGTATTCCCAGGGACTCCAATATCCCTTAATTAAGGAATATACCTTAACTTATAGTAGGATCCCTAANNNNGGGGTATTGGAGTCTCTGGGTTCGTCCAGGTCGCTCAGGGTGGCTCCGACCATGGATAGCACAACCACGGTCCCGGGTCCAGTTATCGCTGGTCTTGTGCGTCTGGTTGAAGAGCTCCTCTGGAGGTTTGGGCTTAGGGTTTAGGGTTTAGGGCTTAGGGCTTATAGGGTTTAGGGGTTTAGGGCTTAGGGTTTAGGGGTTTAGGGTTTAGGGTTTAGGGCTTAGGGTAGATCGG